ACCCAAATATATCTATACGATCCTTCAGTCACCAATTGACAACAATTAGAACCAACAAAATTACATACAATAACTATGATGACAAGAGGGTTGTATTTTAATTTTATTTTTATTTTTTATTCCTTTGGTTTTTTTTTTTTTTTTTATTTTTTATTACAACCCTCTTGTCATCATAGTTATTGTATGTAATTTTGTTGGTTCTAATTGTTGTCAATTGGTGACTGAAGGATCGTATAGATATATTTGGGTGTCTGTTCACAACAGAGTCCATACCTTCAAACAAACATCGTCTGTGATCTTCAAATGTCATATGATTCTTGACAACATGTCCTCTGACACCCTTTGCCCTAATCTCTTCTTTGGAAGAATCAATCCCAATCTTATACGAATAAGATTTTGAGCGAAGCGCACAAAACTCTGTCATTAGATCACCATTGGTCTCATCTGAAAATAGTCCCGGAATCTTTTTTCTCTCAGCAATATAACAGGGATGATTTTCTGGTAAATTCGACGTGTCCATGCGGTCAAGTAAAATCGGGTTGTTTACCATATCTTCGTAGAAATCATCGGTTTCGATAAAATACACTAGTGAATCTATAAAAATTAATTTATTAGTGAAAATTAAGTTCATTGTAAAATATATTATTAATTCACCTGTATCTGTATACATGAGTGATATTTTTTCTCCATAGTACCTCTTCATAACATTGTAATGATAGTCATACATCAGTGTCTTGCTGATGTCCAGTACTGCGAGTCCTGTGAAAAAAAAAAAAATTATAATTTTTAAGATTAAGAATATAAATGTGTGTATAATACATGCCTATATATATAGGTTTATCGAATTTTATGATTTTATTCTCCAATGTTATTGCACTCAAGTTTTTGTGGTATGCCGTTGCGTGTTTAAATGTTGTTTTATTTATAAGTTTCTGTAATCTATCATCACTCGATACCAATTCTACTTTTATCCTACGACGAACCTGTTCCATAGTCTTTCCTGTAAAGTACAACATTAGTATAAAATCTTTATCACACTAAATTTATACATACCAAAAATTGCATTGTTCATAAGCTTAAAGAATTCCTTCTCAAAATCATTCAAAGCTCTCTTCCTCATCTCCGTATTTAATTTAATGTATTCGGCTAACCATGCCGACTGATTAAATTGTATAACTCTAT